GCCCCATCTTGAGAAGATCTTCGTGGCTCATGCGCCCCTCTTATTGTAGTTTTTTTTCTCCTCCGTCTCCTTCGCTTCATGGTTGGGGCACACAGACATCACTCTTGTGCACACACCATTAAGTATACTTAAGTGTTAGATGTGAGCGCTGTGTGTCTGCGTTCTTGTGTGTGTGTGTGTGTGTGTGTGTGTGCGCGCGCGCGCGCGCGTGTGTGTGTGTGTGTGTGTGTGTGTGTGTGTGTGCGTGTGTGGAATGACTGTCCATCGCCCTGAAGACATTTGCTGCCGCTCACCGTTTCACGGACGCGTTCCCAGAAGATGTCAGACACCATTCTGCCGACCAGTGACGACAGTGGTGAGATGCAAGCACGTAGGGCAGCGCAAAGAGCAACAAACACTTGTCACCCACCCAACACATCCAACCACGACCACTGGTAACCATGCACCAGGCTCGCCACCCGCAACCGCTACCACAATGCCACGCACCTGGAGAGGTTATCAGTGCCGAGCTTGTCTGTGCCGACCTGGCTGGACTTGAAGAACGGCGAGGAGGCAAAGTACTGCCGCTCCGTGCGCCGGATGGTGTCGATGCTGTCGTTCGCTGGTGGACGCGCAGGTGTCGTTGTTGTTGTTTAAGTTGTTGTTGATGTTGTTTAAGTTGTTGTTGATGTTGTTTAAGTTGTTGTTGTTGTTTAAGGTGTTTAAGTTGTTGTTGTTGTTTAAGGTGTTTAAGTTGTTGTTGTTGTTTAAGGTGTTTAAGTTGTTGTTGTTGATGTTGTTTTGTAAGATGTTGTTGATGTTGTTTTGTAAGATGTTGTTGTTGTTGTTGATGTTGTTGTTGTTGTTGTTGTTTAAATTGTTGTTGTTGTTGTTGTTGACGGTGATGTGTGAGATGAATGGATCGTGGCATGTGAGGTGAAGGGATGGTGCTGTATGGGGGAAGGGGTCACGGAGGGAAGGAACACGCGTATTCACCCAACAGCGATATGAAAGCAGCCAACGGCAGGTGGTGACAACATGGCAACATGTCAACATGGCACTCACGGTTGGCTGTGCCGGTGACGACAGCAAAATATGCACGCGCGTGCATGTTGAACCGCTCGCCGTTGAGCGTGGCGCGCAGCTGAAATGTGTGAATGCGCGTGAATGTGTGTGTGTGTGCGGGTGTGAGTGGACCTGCTTTGTGTACGTGTGCGTGTGGGCAAAGTGGCATGTGTCGAGGTACACGATACTGGACTTGTGGCCAGTACCTTTTGCTTTGAGATTGAGAGCTTCTCTGCGAGATCGACCTTGGTCAGCACAAACACGGTGCGGTCACCTGTGCAACCAGCCACACACGGCGCAGCAGCGGCGTGAGTTCAGTTTCTATCAGCACGCATCAAACTCAAGCAAACACAACAACAACAACAACAACAACAACAACAACAACAACAACAACAACAACAACAACAACAACAACAACAACAACAGTAGCAGCAGCAGCACCTTCGGGGTCGGCCTCCCTGACGAGATCGGCGACGCTGCTCGATTCAGCATCGCGCGAGGCATCCTGATGATGGCGGCGGCACAAAAGGAGGTGGTGGGTGGTGTTGCGTTAGGACATGGTACCATCACCACACCAAGCGCATACACACACACACACACACACACACACACACACACACACACACACACACACACACACACACACACACACACACACACACACGCAAGTGTGGGACAGCCGACCTGGATGCAGAGGATGATGGCGTTTGGATTTGCAATATGCGCCTTGCACATGCCGAGGATGCTGTTCTTAGTTGTTGTTGGCATACCGCGTGTGTGGTGCTGGCGGCGCAGCACACACGAGCATGCAAGACAAAGAGAGAGGGGAGGACAGGACACGTGAGGGGAGGATGATCCGTGGGAATGGTGGCGGCAGCAATGGCAATTGGATGAGTGGAAGGAAGAGGAAGAAGGAAGGAAGGAAGCAAGGAAGGAAGCAAGGAAGGAAGGACGGAAGGAAGGAAGGGCGATTGCATGCATTGGGTTGGAACCAACCTGGATGATGCCTGGGAGGTCGACGAGCACCATGGGCTGCAGACCAGGGCCTTCAAGCTCAAGCGCAAGTGTGCGGCTGCTCACCACATTCTCCGCATCCAGCCTGCCACGCGCGCGATGATAACATGGGGCAGGCATGAGTCAATGCAATCCACCTGAACAGTCCCTCGCCCCTGCTCTTCCTTCCTTCCCACCTCGCCACCACCCATCTTCACCCATCCCCAACCAACCCCCCTCCTCCCCAAGGGACTCACGACTTAAGCATGCGGTCCTCAATCCTGTCGCGCAGCTTCCTCAGGTCCGCATCGCTGCGCAGGTTGTACACGACGTCCTCGTCCCTGATGCGCGCCACGTGGTGTGCGCCCTCGCTCATGGTCACTTGGATCGGCGCCCGCGTCATCATCTCACCGGCTCCGCGCGGGAATATGCGCGCACGCACAAGCACCTCCAGCACACTCGTCTTGCCCGCGCTCTGTTTGGGCGGGGTGGGGGCGGGGGTGGTTGTGCATTGTTGGTCGTGGTGGTGGTTATGAAGGTGATGGTGGAGAAATGACTGCAGTGAGTACAGGCGAATAACGAAACACACAGACAAAGCACGAGCACACCCAGCTAACCAACCACACCAAACCAACAAACAAACACTCCACGTGCACGCACACACACACACACACACACACACACACACACACACACACACACACACACACACACACACACACACACACACACACACACACAGAGTCCGCAGTCAGCACCTGGTCGCCGACGACGACGACGCGTGGGAGGCGCTCCTGTGCATCGAAGGACGAGTCGACCTGGGAACGCAGGTCAAGAATCTCCGCGAAGAGATCAATCGCGCGCTTCTGCCGCGTGTGCGCGCCCTGCATGTGTGGCGGTGGGGTTGGATGACGTCGTCGTGGTGGTGGTGGCGGCGTGTGTGTGTGCGCGGTGGGTGGGGGTGAGGTGTTGTTGGGAATGTAATCAGTCAACACGGACAAAGGGAAAGAGAAGCAGAGAGCGTTCGTTTGTGTATGTTTGCGTGCGTGTGCATGCATGAGCGTGTGCGTGTGTGTTGTCTGTGTGTGCACCTTTTGCTGGCGGATGATTTGCAGGCGGTGCAGTTCCTCGTTCTCCGCCTTGAGCTGATCAATCACTTTATGCAGTCGCGCACGCTCCGCCTGCAGTTCTTGCTGTGCCGCATCCTGCCAGTGCAGCGCGAAGAAGAGGGGGTTCAATGGGATTTGAGGAATCACAGCACAACAACTGTGAGAACCAAAGCAACACAGACACCCATACATGCACAGACACCCAGGTACAGACAAAGACAAGATGCACAAACAGACAGACACCCACGTACACACAGAGACAGAGACAGAGACAGAGGCAGAGAGGCAGAGACAAACACCCCCCACAGACAGACACACACAGACACACCACACACGTCTCCACCCACATTTGAGTTGTTGAGCTGCTCCTGCAGGTCTGCGAGCTGCTCGTGCAAGAGAGCAATCTCTGTCTCCTTCTCCTCCCTCAGCTTGCGCATGGCCTGCTGCAGGGCGTCAATTGCCTCCTGCCCCTGTTGCACCTGCGCACGCAGCTCTTCAACAAGCTGCCTGTGCTCCTCCTCTCGCACGCTATTGCGGCCTGTTGCGCTGTTGTCGTCGTCGTCGCCATCGCCGGCGCCGGCGGGCGGTGTTGACGGGTCGCCGTCACCACCTGTGGTGCCATCGTCCTCTGATGCTGCGGTGCAGTGTGCAGTCGGTACAAGGCCCACTGCCGCATGAGTGCAGGTGGGACGCAGTGCACACAGGTACACATAACGGTTCACATAAGACGCACACGCACACGAGACATATAAAGAGAGCATGGTGTCTAAGCGGAGGCGTGCGAGCGAGAGCAAGCTTGTTTTTGTTGGGGAAGACAGACACACTCCAATCTCATATGCACAGGCGCTTCTTCACGCGCACACTTTGATGCACGTTCACATTCCCTTCCCCCCCCCCCCCACGCACGGAACCATGGCACGTCTGCCACCACTGAAGCTGCGCCACGCCTCAAAGCACACATGCCATTACAACCAGGCGGTGGGATGCTCACCGTGGGGCTTGATGTTGCCGTGCTCGTCGGCAATGCCCGGAGTCATGCGCGCACGCACGTGGCCCATCTCCGTGCGCAGATACCCGAGAATGCCATCCACTATTGAAAGGGCAGGAAACCAGCAGCATTGTGTTCGTGATGTGCGGTGAGCACGACACAGTGCAACACGGCTCGAGATCATTGGGGGAGGGGAAGCTCAAAGGCCCGAATGCACATGGGTGCAGGCGCACATGGGCATACGCAATGCACAAGGGAAATACCATACCGCCTTCAGACAGGTCGCTGATCCCTGGCGGTAGCTCCATGTCAGGAATGTGTTTCTTGATCTGAATAAATAAAGGCCAAGGTGAAATGTGAGACGGGTTGCACCAGGTGCATGGACGCGTGGACGTATGGGCGTATGGGGAGTACAGCTCGATCGCACACGCACACGCACAGACACAGACAGACAGACAGACAGACAGACAGACACAGGCGCAGATGCACACATACACACAAACAGACAGACACACCTCGCCGGCGGCAGCGCCGATGCCACCGATGACAATGGCTGGGTAGAGGACGGCACGCCGTGAGAGCACAAAGAGCGAGGCAAGTACGCCTGCCGACGCATGTCGTCGCTGTGCAGTTAGCCCCGAGCGTGCAGCCGCAGTTGCGCGTGTCGTGCCCGTTGCCTGTGAAGACAGCACGCCAAACCAGCGTGCCTGCCGCCGAACTGGCTGTGCTTGTGCCGCCGGCGCTTGTTGCGGCTGCTGGTGGTAGTGCCGACACTGTTGACGTGGCTGTGGTTGCTGCGATGCTGGCTGTTGCTGGCGTGGCGCCCGACAGCTGTGGGGTTTGTTGTGATGCTGCCGCAGTGGCTGCTGTATTGCCTGCCGTAATGCGGCAGAAGCGCGACCCACGCCGCGCTGCATCATTGCTGCTCCCAATGCCAAGGGGCGTGCTTATGTGTCCACCAAACAACCCTGTCAACCACGCACCCGTGACGTGATGTGATGTGATGTGTGCGTGTATGTGCGTGTGTGTGTGTGTGTGTGCGTGTGTGTGTGTGCGTGTGCGTGCGTGTGTGTGTGTGTGACCACAGCAATTGTCTCAGACGGAGATGATGGCGAGTGGCTGCTGCGGCAATCTGACTCACACAACAAACCTTTTGCTTCTCTTTTGCTTTGCGCCTTTCAGGTGTTGCATCGCCGCACCGAAAGAAATATGGCGATCACATTAACAATCGCCATCATTTGATGTGGGGGACATTGCTAATTTTCCGCCAGAAAAAAACGAACGACAACAACGAACACAGAGCAAGCAAGCAAGACGACGACAACAGAGCAACCGACGGCGACAGAGACGTGCGAGCGAGTGACAAGCGAGCGAGCCAGCCAGCAAAGCCAGCCGCACGCTGGGGAAAGCAAGTGAAGACTGCATCAGCGTGTCTGCACAGCATCACTGCGAAGCCTTTTTTGTTGTTTTTGTGTGGCGACACCATCCATTGTTGAGTGAGAACAGTCCAAGATGGGCAAGGATTATCTTGGAAAGGATCAGCGCCGCGTCACGGACGACAAGAAGGAGGATGAAACCATCACAGGTGCCGTGTTGGATGGTGTGCCGGGCTGTGTGTGCATATGTGTGTGTTTGTGCACTTGTGTGTTTGGTCGTGCGTGTTCGTGTGGTCGTTGCCTGTGTCGTGCGTGCTGGTTTCCTTCTCTTGGTGCACTCACAAATCCTTGCTTGTGTCTGTGTTTGTGTTTGTGTTTGTTCGTGTGTGCGTGTCGAATGCATGGATGTTGTGTTTGTTCGTGTGCGTGTGTGCGTGTGTGCGTGTGCGTGTGTGCGTGTGTGCGTGTGTGCGTGTGCGCGTGTGTGTCTGTGTGTTTGTTCGTGTGTGTGTGTGCGTGCGTGCGTGTTTGATGTTCCATCACATCCTTCCATCTGGCCCAACCCACACAGCCTTGGACGCCGGTGACATTGCTGTCCTCAAGACCTACGTAAGTCAAACAGCACACAGAAACAGCACACACGCGCACATGCACATGCCTCACGTGCTGCTGGTTTCTGTCTGTGCGCGGTATTACTTATGTGCAGCCGCTCAGCTGGCACCGCCACCGCCACTACTGCTGCTGCCGACCATGATCAGCGAGCATACAAACAAGCCCATGTACGCCTCGCTTCATGTGCTCATTCTCTGTCATGACTGCTGGTGGCCTCGTTTGTTTGTGATTGGGCATCGACAGGGCACAGGCCCGTACACAAACGCCATCAAGAAGACGGAGAAGGACATTGACAACGTGATGAAGCGCGTGATTGAGCTCACGGGCATCAAGGAGTCTGACACGGGTCTTGCCCACCCCGGCCTGTGGGATTTGGCGGCAGACAAGCAGATGATGCAGGAGCAGCCGCCACTGCAGGTCGCCCGCTGCACAAAGATCATCCCTGGCGAGACAGAGGAACAGAACAAGTGCGCATTTCCGTTTCGTGCTTGTTGGGTGTGTGTGCGTGTGTGCGTGTGTGCGTATGTGTGTGTGTGCGTGCGTGTGTGTGTGTGCGTGCGTGTGTGTGTGTGCATTGGGTCATGTCAGTGCCTTCGTGCATAGCCGGTGGCTTTCGTCTCACTTGCATCACGCGTTGCAAACTCATTACCGCCAACTCATTACCGCCAACTCATCACCACGCGCCCTGTTGCCAGGTACATGATCAACATCAAGCAGATTGCCAAGTTTGTTGTTGGTCTGCACGACAAGGTTGCCCCGACAGACATTGAGGAGGGCATGCGCATCGGTGTTGACCGCTCCCGGTACCAGATTCACATCCCGCTCCCGCCAAAGATCGATGCCAGCGTCACCATGATGCAGGTCCGTGCATGTGTGCATGTATACGTTTGCGTTAATGTTTGTGTGTGTGTGTGTGTGTGTGTGTGTGTGTGTGTGTGTGTGTGTGTGTGTGTGTGTGTGTGTGTGTGTGTGTGTGTGTGTGTGTGTGTGTGTTTGTGTGTTTGTGTGTTTGTGTGTGTCGTGTCGTGTTTCCTGGTCATTCACGCTTATTGTTTGTGCATGCGTGCGCATTCTTGCTGATGCGTCGCACCTTCACTGACCTGAATGAATGAATGTGCCTTGATTCATCCCTCTCTCCACATTTGCCCTCTGCATCATTGCCACCACGACGACCACCACGACGACGTCTACAGGTTGAGGACAAGCCCGACGTGACGTACGCCGATGTTGGCGGCTGCAAGGAGCAGATCCAGAAGCATCCTTCTTTGACACATATATGCTTCTACTGACAGCCAACCACACCTCAGCATGCGCCATCTTTTCATCACATACTTCCTTCTCTCATCCCACCCTCGCACCACACTACACCACACCACACCACACCGTCTGCGCCAACCCAACCCAACCCACAGGGCCGCACGCACATCCTGAAGATCCACACGAAGAGCATGAGTGTGGAGCGCGGCATCCGCTACGAGCTGCTTGCGCGTCTGTGTCCAAACAGCACCGGCGCTGAGCTGCGCAGCGTGTGCACGGAGGCCGGCATGTTTGCCATCCGCGCCCGCCGCAAGGTGGCCACGGAGAAGGACTTCCTGGACGCCATCAACAAGGTGGTCAAGGGCTTTGCCAAGTTCAGCTCCACGGGCCGTTACATGGCCTACAACTGAGGCGGCAGCGGCGATGTTGATGGCGGTGGTGGTGTCGAGGGGAGGTGGATGTGATTGTTTGTTGGGTGGGCGGTGTGTGGTTGCCCCGACCGCTTGCTGCTTGCTTGCACAGTGTTGTACGTGGTTGCAATGGGTGTGGACGTGTGGTGGTTGTTCATGTGTTACATGCATGTCCACTACCAGTGGTCCTCCAGGACAAAATAAACGCTGCCCTGATGCGAGCCCGTGACGTTTGGGTGCGACTTGCTGTGAGACACGATGTGAGAGGCTGCATGAGGGTGAGGTTGAGTGAGGACACAAGGGGCATAGTCTTCATATCATGCATTGATGTCGCGTGTTCGCTTATGTCTTTACTGTTGTTTGGTTGCGTGTGTGTGCCAGCAAGCATCACACCCTAAACAATAAACAAGGAGAGAAGAGGGGGGAGGGGGAGGGAAGAGGGGATCAATACCACACAATACCACAATCAGAAACGCGAGCTAACGCAAGTGTAACGAGATCAAAGGGTTGCTGAGCTAGAGCGGCGCTGGTGGCTGCGATGGACGCGGAAGGCGGTCGGGGCGGCCGTGTTGATGGTGCTGTTGTTGTACGGGCGACTCACACCCACACAATTGTTGTTGTTGTTGTTGTTGTTGTTGTTGTTGTTGTTGTTGTTGTTGTTGTTGTTGTTGTTGTTGGTGTTGTTGGTGTTGTTGTTGTTGTTGTTGTTGTTGTTGTTGTTGTTGTTGTTGTTGGCTTCTACCATGACCAGCACCGCCATTTTCATGGGTGATACCGCCATCGTCACGACCCCTCGCCTCTCTCAAGCCATCATTGCCACCACCATCACCATCGCCACCTCTGCCATCCTCCTCCTCCTCACCATCACAATCATCATCGTCATCAGGTACAGGGAGCTTGGTGTGCGGTTGCAACGCCGCTGTCACGTTGCCCCAGTATGCGCCGTGCTGGCGATACCACTCAATTGTCTCTGCCAGGCCCTCGCCCCAGGCCACGCGCGGCTGCCAGCCCAGGGCGGCGAGGTTGGCGTGGTCGATGAGGTAGCGGTGGTCCTGGAAGGTGCGGTTTGCCACGTGCTCGATGCACGTGTGCACATCGCGGCCCACAATGGCACACACGTCACGCGCCACGTCCAGCACGGAGATTTCGCTCGTGGAGCCGATGTTGTACACCGTGTGCAGTGGCCCTGACAGCGTGGGCGGGGGGCAATGAAAGGCACAGGAGCGGGAGGAGGAGGAGGAGGTGGTGGTGGAGGTGGTGGTGGGAGGTGTGAGCAGGCAAGCAAGGCAGCAGCGAGATGACAAACTGCAGCGAGACAGGGCTGCGCATGGAGAGGCAGCAGCAAAACACACACACACACACACACACACACACACATACACAATACTCACGCACACAGTGCAGCAACGCAACAACAACAACAACAACAACACACACACACACACACACACACAATACACACACACACACACACAAAACCAAAGCACAACACGTGTAAACACTGTCACAAACTGAAGCCCCAAATACAGCCTGTATGTGCTTGTGTCACAGACCGTGGTCAATGAGGAGGTTGAACGCTGCAGCAACATCGCGCACGTGCACATATCCCCTTCGCTGGCTGCCGTCACCATGGATGGGGAGCGTCATGCCGTGCAGCGCACGCAGGATGAACTTGGGTATCAACTTCTCCGGGTACTGGCACGGCCCATACACCTGTTGCGCCGCAGCATGGAGGGCGTGAGGCCATGCTGCACACGCGTGCTCACCTTGACTTCACTCATCACACACGCCGCGCAGCAAACCCATACCAGGCGCGTGCACATACAGACAAGTGCAGTGACACACAGATGCACAGACACAGCCACACACATTGACGCACACACACACACACAGACACAGACACAGAGGCACATACGTATACAACCACAGCCACAGCCACAGCCACAGACACAAACACGGGCACACATACACTGATGCACATGTACAGACACACACTGTTCACGCACGTTGTTGCCGCGCGTGACGATGATGGGGAGGCGGAAGCTCTTCTGGTATGCCTTGACAATCATCTCAGCTGCAGCCTTGGATGCGGAGTAAGGGTTGGTAGGGTCCAGCGGGCTCTCGTTCTCCAAAAACTGGTGCTCAGAGTCGGGCTTTGTGCCCCCATACACCTCGTCTGTGCTCACGTGGATGATGCGTTCAAGCTGTCCCGCCACACGCTGCAGGTGCAAACACGTGTGTGTGTGTGTGTGTGTGTGTGTGTGTGTGTGTGTGTGTGTGTGTGTGTGTGTGTGGTGTGTGCGTGTGTGCGTGTGTGTGTGTGTGAGGGGAGGGCGAGGTTGCGTAGGGATGCGTGAGGTGATGCGTGCATGTGTAAAGCATGGCTACAGGTGCTGTTAAACACAATACCCCGGCACACACAGACACAGACACCCAGGCAGACAGGCAGACACACACACAGACACACACAGACACACACACGCACACACACACACACACACACACACAGACACCCACACCAAACGTACCCGGCAAGCCTCCAGCGTGACGTGCGTACCGACGACGTTGGTTTGTGTGAAACAGAGGGTGGAATCAAACGAGTTGTCCACGTGGGACTGGGCTGCAAAGTGCATGAGCACGGTCACTTTGAAGTGGCTCAAGATGGTCTCCATCAGCTCCAGGTCGCACACGCTGCCTCTGATGAATGCAAAGCGCTGGGATGGGGAGGCCTGCACCTTGCCTTGCAGAATGGCAGGCAGGAGCTGTTGTGATGGCAGCTCTGATGCACCGCGGCTGCGGTTGTCGAGGCCACACGTGTCGTGGCCAGCATCGCCATCAGCAGCGGGATCAGCGTCTCCGCCATCTACCAGAAGGTCTTCGATGTTCTTGAGCGATGCGCAATAGTCCAGGTTGTCCAGCACAATCACCCGTGCACCTGGCCGCTGCCGGTACACATAGCGTGCCACATGCGATCCAATAAAGCCAGCACCCCCCGTCACCAAGATCACCCGCATCACCACCGCCACACACGTCTCAATCAACGTCGTCGTTTGTCTGACGAAGCAAAGCGCTGGCAAGACACCACAAAATGCACCGCAACAGTGCCTTGGTGGCGAAAAGTGGCGGAAGGTGTTGCCAACTATCGAATAATTCGACCAAACAGGCAAAGGCGGCCAGGCAGAAGAGGAACAGCACAACTCACAACCCACACCACACCACACCTTCCGGCCACCACACCGCCACCCTCCCTTGCGTTGTTTTGTGTCACCATGCCAAAGTCAGCGGTACGTCGTGGAGAAGGAAGAGAAGTTGTAGTGTCGTTCGCGCGGCTGCTATGAGCAGCAGTGAGAGCAGGCAAACATCTCTGCTGTTGTGTGTGGTGGTTTCAACATCTTTGACAAGAACGCAACACCAACATTGATGATGATTATCAATGTGTTTATTTGTTTGTGTTATGTCCTGGGCTGGCCGCCTGGGAAGCCTACTGCCTTTGCTGCTTCTGTTGCTAGCGCTTGCGTTTGTTGCTAGCTTTTGTTGCTTGCGGTTGTTTGTTTCTCCCTGCTACTGCCTGCTGCTCCTGCTGCTTCTGCTTCTTCTGCTGCTGCTTCTGTTGTTGCGTGCTTGCAGTGTTATGTTACGCTTTGCTGCGGCAAGCGACACGAGCTCACGGTTCATTTGTGACTGCGGCGCCATTCTTCGGTGCAGACGGTCGAGGTGATCCACATGCTGGGTCGTGACTCGTTTGAAATTACTTCCAAGACCACAGGCCATGACCTCTTTGTTCAGGTTCGAATGCGTGTGTGTGTCTATAACTGTGTGAATGTTTGTGTGTGTGTGCACATGTGTGGGTCTGTGTGTACACATGTGTGTGTATGTGTGTTCTCTCCTTCCCTCCCTCCCTCTCTCCATCTCCCTCCCTCTCCCTCCCTCTCCCTCCCTCTCCCTCCCTCCCTCCCTCTCTCTCTCTCTCCCTCTCTCTCTCTCTCTCTCTCTCTCTCTCTCTCTGTGTGTGTGTGTGTGTGTCTGTGCATACGTGCTGTGTAACTCCGTGGAGGTCTATGTGTGTGCGTGTGTGTGTGTGTGTTGTAGAGCAATTTCTCACGTGTGTGCGCGCCCTGCTCCTTTGTTGTTGCTGCTGCTTGTTGGGACAGGTCATGGAGAAGCTTGAAGCGCCCGCCAACTCCTTCTTCAACCTGCAGTACACAGACAACAAGGACTTTGAGGCCTTCATCAAGCCCGAGAAGAAGGTGCATGGCCCGCGCTGCTTGAGGGGGAAAGAAAATGGTTGCATTGAGTGCCGGCTTCTCTGCTCTTCCTGCTTGGTGAGCGCATCGTTGATGGTTTACGCGTGTCGTTTCCCCTCACCACTTTTTCGTGCCTTTCGCAATCCTTGCCACTGCGTATGCTTGTAGGTGCTGTCGCATGACTTGAAGAAGGTCAAGGATGCGCCCCACCAGTTTGCCCTTCGCGCCCAGTTTTATCCTGGTGCGTGCGTGTTTGTGTGTGTTTGTGTGTGTTTGTGTGTGTTTGTGTGTGTTTGTGTGTGTTTGTGTGTGTTTGTGTGTGTTTGTGTGTGTTTGTGTGTGTTTGTGTGTGCATGCGTGTGTGTGTGCGTGTGTGCGTGTGTGTGTGTGTGCAATTGTGTCTTTGGGTGTGTTCTGTTGACTCAGCGACGACTCTCCCGACACCACGCACGCCACTCTCCTCTGTTCAACACCGACAGAGCTTGTGAACGAGGAGCTGAGTGACGAGCGCGTGCAAGAGCTCTTCTGGCTGCAGATCAGGGAGTCGATTGTCTCCGACACGTGCTACTGCCCGCCAGAGCTCTGTGTCCTCTTTGCCGCAGAGGCGGTGAGTGGCATGTGTGTGCGTGTGTGGAAATGCGTTTGTATGCGCATGTTTGCTTTGTTTGCACGTTGTGGGTCTGCATGTGCTGTGTTTGTTCATGTGCGTCTCATTGCGTTGAACTGCCAGCTGTTGCCATTTCATGAACCGCCCACTCACGAAGAACCCCTGCACCCCCCCCCCCTGCCCAAAACAAAAACCAACACAACACTCCTGCCCTCTTTTCCACGCGTTCAGATGCAAGCGGACCACGGTGACCTTGACCGCGCCACGCACGCCGGGATGATTGACGCGGCCAAGTGCCTGCCCGAACGCGTTCTCCGACAGCACGATTTGACACACGAGCAGTGGGCCGAGCGCATTGCAAACGCCTGGGACACGCTGCGGGGCATCTCCAGGTGCGCACACCACCACAAAAGGGAGGGGGAAGAGGGGAAGGTGCCGTGCTGCTGTTTACTCATTGCTTTTGCAATTTCTGTTGCTGTTGCTGTTGCTGTTTCTGTTTCTGTTGCTGCAGCACTATCATTTTTCTTTGGTGCTGCTGTGAGCGTGCAATTCACAATACGTTTCTGCACACACCTATCTGTCTGTGCTGGCTTTCTTTGTTTGCAGGCAACAGATTATCATGGACTACTTGAACGTGGCGCAGGACCTTGAGCAATACGGCGTCACCTACTTCGAGGTCAGTGGCAAGTGCTGTTCCGCATACTCGCCATTATCGCCGCTGCCCGCACTAATCCCTCCCTCTGTGTGTCTCTGTCTCTGTCTCTCTGTCTCTCTGTCTCTCTGACTGCGTCTTGCTGCCCACCCAACTCAACGCCTTGCCCTTGCCCACTTCTCTCTCTCTCTCTCTGTGTTTCTCTCTCTCTCTCTCTGTCCCTCTCTGTCTGTCTCTGTGTTCCTCTTGGCACTCACCCCACCTCTGTGTTCCTGGCTGTCCTTCGTTTCAGATCCACAACAAGAAAGGCACGAAGCTGTGGCTGGGCGTGCACAACCTTGGCATGGACATCTACGAGTACAAGAACAAGGTCACGCCGCGTCTCGGGTTCCCCTGGACGGAGATTGCAAACATTTCCTTCAACGACAAGAAGTTCACCATCAAGATGGTCGGCGGAAAGGCCCCGGTACGTGATGCTACGTATTTGGTGTGTGTGTGTGTGTGTGTGTTTGTGTATGTGTGTTTGGGTGTGTGTGTGTGTGTGTGTGTGTGTGTGTGTGTGTTGTGTGTGTGTGTGTGTGTGTGTGTGTGTGTGTGTTTGTGTGTTTGTGTGTTTGTGTGTGTGTGTGTGTGCCGTTGATTACATCATTGGCGGTCCTTGTCTCCTGTCCACCCGGTGCACGCTTCCCTTCATTTCTCGTCTCAACTGCCACTTACACCCCACCCACTTCACCTTAACCTGGCCCAACACCACCTCACACCTCCTTCCCTCCTTTGTGCTTCCATTGCCTTCTCCTTACCTTCTCCTCCCCACGACCACAGGACTTCAAGTTCTACTCGCCGCGGTTCAAGGTCAACAAACGCATCCTCGACCTGTGTGTCCGCAACCACCAGATGTATGTCGAGCGCAGGCGAAAGCAGGTCCGTACCCCCGTGCCTTGGCCCTTGCTGCTGTTGTTTGTTGCGTTGTTGGTGTGCGGTGGTCATGTTGTTTGATGCGATCTCCGTGGTATTTTGCACACGTCATGCGACTGCTGCTGTGATTACACCATCACGAGTGCTGTTTTTGCCGCCGTTGTCGTGATTGTCCCGGCTTGCCATCTCACACGCATCTCACATGTCCTCCTGCTATTCGGCAGCTGATGGGCGATGGTATGGTTGAGGACCGCGCTGCCTTTGAGGCCAAGATCAAGAAGACCCGTGAGCAGCTCTCGGTAACCACACACACGCACACACACACACACACACACACACACACACACACACACACACACACACACACACACACCATCTGATGGTGCTTGATTACGCCCACTGCAGCTGCTTTCGCAGTGCTTGTTTACCAACTGTTGTGCAGTCGGCGGTTTCATCGCTCACGGGCACGCCCTTGTCTTTGCTGCGTTCATGTGTGCTCGGCAGGCGATTCGGCGAGACTTGGAGAGCGTGAAGGACAAGACACACGAGACAGCAGAGGACAGGTACTACGAGCAGCAGAAGGAGGCTGGCATGGACAAGTACAAGACAATGAAGAAGGCACAGTCAGGTACGCTTCTTTCTGTGTGCTTGTGTGTACACTTGTGTGTGTGTGCTTGTGTGTGTGCTTGTGTGTGTGTGCACTTGCACGTGTGTTTGAGTGCTTACCCACACACATACCCACACACATACACATACACATACACATACACATACACATACACATACACATACACATACACATACACATACACATACACATGTACATGCACATGCACATGCACATGCACATACACACAACACGCTTGGTTGCTTTGTTTGGCCTTTATTGACACCACCTCTGCCACCCCTGTACTCGGTTCAACTTTGTTAGGCGATGCGCGGAGGCGTATTGAAGAGTTTGAGAACCTCGAGGATGATGTGGAGTGCTGACGCAAGCCGCTTTCTGCTGTTGCCTGTTGCATCACACGTCTTGCTTCACTTGACCTGTTCCCTTCAACCCCGCTCTCTTCTCTCACGCCACCACCGCCAACCAACCTTTCTGCCTCCAGCCTCTTCTTGTCTCTTGCTGTCCTCTGTTAGTTCACTGTTTGTCCACAAACACACACACACATCTCTTCTTCTCTCCTTCTTCTTCATCTCCTATCATGATTTTTTGCCGCGTTGTTCGTGCTTGTTGTTCTTGTAACATGATGTGTGGCAATGTGCTGTTCTGAGTACAACACGACATGCGAGATGATGGACTGTACGCAAACACAATGCACGCGTCGAACCACACACACACACACACACACACACACACACACACACACACGCCTGTATTGACGAATGGTCTTGGAATACTTCAATCATTTTCTGCAACGTCCACTGCTCACAACACGTCAACTCACGCACTGCGACAATGGGGTTTGTGAAGGTGATGTCTGTGCTGGTGGTGCTTGTCGCCATCGGCCTCAAGCTTGTCCACGACAACACACCGGTGCGTTGAACATGCGTGCACATGCGTGCACTCTGGTGAACACTGTTTCGCTTTGGCTTTGTTGTGCATGTGTGTCTGAAGCAGAAGAACGCAGCAGGGTTGGGGTTGACTTGCTTGCCATACAAACTCAGTGTTCTCCTTGAGCACGTCCTCACTTGGCTTGTTTCACTGGCTGCTTCACGTTGACATGCACTGGATGACTCCCACTTGTTGGTGTGTGACAGCCGGTGATTCCCGGCAACCTCCCCAAGGAAATGCGCGCCCTGCGCGTGCATGGACCCGGCAATGCGACAACGCTCGGCGATGTTCGAGTAAGCGACGTGATTCATGGCATTGGCACGTCATAGCGCTTCCGCAGCCAAGACCCCTGCCACACATCATGCCGACCTGCTCACTCACGTCAACTCATTTGATGTCCGCGGCACCATCGTGCTTGCTGTCGGTGCGACTTGAAGAGTTTGATTGTCGCACATCACAATTCCTCCATGCTCACTTTGCCTGCGCGCTTTCTTGCCTCTAGGTTGACACCATCCCCGTTCCAAAGGTCGAGCGTGGATATGTTCTCATTCGCGTCAGGGCTGCGGCTATCAACCCCTCTGACATTTACTTCCTGAGGGGCATCTACACGGTACGGAGTGGCAACTGAGCAACAATATTGTGGCGCCTGGAACCGCCACACCAACACACCAACACACCGACACACACACGCACAGAAACATAGACAAGCACGCAGTGTCTCACGCTTGCTGCTTGCTGTTGCATGTTGTGATATCCACCAGAGCACCGGAAACGACCCCAGCTTCCCTGCTGCAGCAGGCTTTGAGGGAAGTGGGCTGGTTGTTGGCCACGGTGGCGGCCTTTTTGGCCATATGCTTCTTGGCCAGCGCGTCGCCTTTGGCGCAGCTGGGGGCGGCGCGTACGCAGAGTACATTGCCGTGAAGGAGGATCTTGTCATCCCGCTTCCCGCTGAAATGAACTACCCGCAGGGCGCGTTCAGCATGGTGAACCCGCTCACGGCCATTGGCATGCTCAGCACGGGCCTCAGCGAGGGCCATCAGGCGTTTGTGCAGACTGCCGCCGCATCCTCCCTCGGCAAGATGCTCCTCCGCCTCTCAAAAGTGCAAGGTTTGTCTTGTGCGTGTGTCTGTATGTTTGTGTTCGTGTGTGTGTGTCTGTATCATTGTGTTCGTGTGCGTGTGTCTGTTGTGTGTCTTGTGTGTATATGTGCGTGTGCCCATTGTGCGCGTACACAGACACACACAGACAAACACAGACACACACACAGACACACACACACACACACACACAGACACACACACACACAGACAGACACACACACACACACACACACACACACACACGCACACACACAGACACAGACAAAGACACACACACACACAACATGCTCACTCCCGCCCATGATGCCTCGATAGATGTGCCCATGATCCACGTTGTGCGGCGCGCGGCCCAGAAGCAGCTGCTCGTTGGGCTCGGTGCTGTTCCCGAGCACGTGCTCATCTCCACCGATAATGACTTTGTGCCCAAGCTGCGCGCGCTGAGCAAACAACTCCGCGCCACCGCCGCCTTTGATGCAGTCGCCGGCACCTCAACAGCACAGGTCAGCACAGAAAAGGCGCACCCGGGCATGTGCGTGCATGCGTGCTTGGGCGTGTGCTCGATTGTGTTTATGTTGTGTTGTGTTGTGTTGTGTTGTGTTGTGTGCGTGCGTGCGTGCGTGCGTGCGTCTGGTGTGTTTTTGTGTGTGCGTGTGTGTGGTTGCGTGTACATGCTTCCAGACTTGAAATCGTCCCACAAATATGTTCATGTGTTCACAACAAACCACCCACCACACCCACCCACAACAGCTGGCGGAAGCGCTGCCCGATGGCGGGCTCGTGTATGTGTACGGAGCGCTGTCGAACGAACCCGTGAAGGACGTGGACCCGATGGTTCTCATGCACGGCAACAAGCGCATTGGCGGCTGGCACCTGCGCGTATGGACTGACAACCTGTACTTCCCACAGAAGCTGATGTACATCTTCAAGGTGCGTCGCGCCATTGCAATGGTAGTGGCAGTCACGCAGCGCTTTTGGTTTTCAATATGTTTTGCGGAATGACACCCCCTACCACACACACACACATCCACACACACACACACACACACACACACACACACACACACACACACACACACACACACACACACACACACACACACACACACACACACACACACACACACACACACACACACACACACACATCCACACACACACACACACACACACACACATCCACACACACACACACACACACACACACACACACACATACACACACACACACATCCACGCACACACACATACACACACATCTACACGCACACGCACACACACACCCACGCGCACACACACACATCCACACACATCTACACACACACACATCCACACGCATCCACACACATACACACACATACACACACATACACACACATTCACACATTCACACACACACACACATACACACACATACACACACATTCACACATTCACACACACACACACACACGCACACACACACACACACACCACACGCACGCACACGCACACATTCACACAGACGCGAGCGCTGCTGACGACGGCGCTTCGGACGGACATTAACGGATATGTGTCGCTCGACAACTTCGTTACAGAAGCCAACAAGGTGTGAAACACAGCTGCTGCTGTTTCTATCGCTGCTGCTGTCGCTGCTGCTGTTGCTGTAATACCGGCTCGATGACCGTCTTGCTTTCACGTTTCTCACACATATTTTGTTATCGTGTGCATGTGCTTGCATGTTCATTTTCGCGATGTGAATCAACAGTACATGGGCGCGGCGACAAACAACAAGCGCGTCCTTGTCTTCAAGTGAAGAAGCAAGTTGGGCCCAAGAACAAACGACACTTTTTCCTTTGTAGTGGCATGCAACAATACTCGTCTCTCCCTTCGTCACACGGCTTTCGTCCCCTCTACTCTCTTTGTTCCTCTTAACACCGTCTCTCTCATGCACTGGCTGACTGTTATCTCAAGTGTTGTTGTTGTTGTTGTTGTTGTTGTTGTTGTTGTTGTTGTTGTTGTTGTTGTTGTTGTTGTTGTTGTTGTTGTTGTTGGTGTTGTTCGTCAGTTCGCAATCGTTCATGATGACACATCACGAAGCCCCTTCATGTTCATTGTTGGAAGGTACATACATACGCCCATACACGTAAACCCACAAGTGCATGTCATGATATAATTACGCAAACGAGAGTTTGGTGCCAACACCACCACCATGAGCATCATCACCATCATCACTCGGGCGCTGGACGATGCGGGAGAGCAGCAGCTCCTGTACAGCGCGCACGAGGTGGTGCTGGTGGATGGTCGTGTCCTCTGCAGCCACACCGTTGTCACTGTCTGCCCCAATCTGACAACCGCCATCATCACTGTCACTGGCAACCGTGTCGCGGCCCCCGTTCTCATCAACATCATCATGATCATCATGATCATCATCATTGTCGTCACTGGTGTGGTCACTGCTGTCCTCGTGGTCACTGTTTGAGAGTCCACAGCTGCTTGTACCGCCTGCATCTGCTTCTTCAACCACCACATCATCCACATCGTCCACATCATCATCATCATCATCATCATCATCATCATCATCGTCATCATCATCATCCACATCGTCATCATCATCATGATCATCGCCGGCTTCATCTATGCGACGGCCATTCGCATCAGCTCCACTTTCGACAACAAAAACACCCGCAACACGACCATCACCACGACCACCACCTCCATCACGTGCATGGTGCGTACTTGCGTGTGCGTTTCCGTTGGCGTGCAGGAGACCGAGAGAGCGCCGATGCACACGTGGTGGTGAGCTCACGCTGCCCACCAGCGGCACACTCATGCCACTTGCACCATCACTGGTGTTGGTGTTGAGGTGCCGACGAAGCAAAGACGGCGAGGAAGGCGGTGGTGTCTGCAGGCCATCGCCGCCGCGTTTTGGCTGGTGGCCGTTGCCATCGTGACCATGGTCAGCCATGGCAGCAAATCTAACTCCAGTCTCCCCATCTCCGTTCATTACAGGTACCAGGGGCGCTGCAGACACCACAGCACCACCACTACTTCCATCATCGTCCGCATCCCCACCACCGGTCACTCCAGCACGGCGGCGATTGTGCTGTCGTGCGCTGCTCAAGGCTACACGTGCCACTGCCAGCTGCGCGTTTGTGATAATCGCCTTCAAGTCCGCACCCGTGCACCCGCGCGTGTGCTCGGCAACGGACGCCAGGTCCACATCGCCACCGAGCGTGTTGTCACGCGCAAGCACACGCAGGATATCGGCCCGCTCCTCCACCGACGGCGGCGTGCACGCAATGTGGTGCCCAAGACGGCCGGGGCGAAGCAGGGCAGGGTCAACCATGTGTTTGCGGCTGGTGGCGGCGGCGACGACGACGCGGCGGCCCCTCGTCTCCTCCACGCCGTCGAGATAGGTGAGCAGCTGGTTCACCACCCGGTCGCACACGCCGTTGCTGCTGCTCCCGCGTGGGCTGGCAATGGCATCAATCTCGTCGAAGAAGAGCAGGCAGGGCGCCGCCTGCTGCGCGTGTGCAAACACCGTGCGCACGGCCTGTTCGCTCGCCCCAATGTACTTGTTCAGCAGCTCCGGCCCGTTGACCACAATCAGGTTGAGGCCAAACTCCCCGGCCGTCGCCTTGGCGAGCATCGTCTTGCCGCACCCGGTTGGCCCGTGCAGCAGCACCCCGTCTGTGAGCTGCACCGGCGCGCGCGCGTACAGGTGGGCGTAGCGGATGGGCCAGCCAATGGTTCGCGTGAGCTTCCGCTTGGCTTGCGTCATGCCACCCACGTCAGCAAACGTGAGTGTTGCGTCGCGCAGCGGCAGCGCGTCAACGTGCAGTGGTGTGTAGTTCAATGTGACGGCGCGGATGTCGGCGGGGGTAACGTGGTGGTGCGATCGGTTTGCCCGCAGCGCCGCCGCTTGGGAGAGCCGCAACACGTGCACAATATCCCGCACAACGAGGCGGCGTGACAGCGCTGGGGCGATGGCAGCGTGGAGCGCACGCAGCGACACAGGGGCATCACCGTGTTGTTGTTGTTGTTGTTGTTGTTGTTGTTGTTGTTGTTGTTGTTGTTGTTGTTGTTGTTGTTGTTGTTGTTGTTGTTGTTGTTGTTGTTGTTGTTGTTGGGTGGGGGCGTTGGCGTGGGAAATGTTGAGATCATCAAGAAGGTGAGGCAGGGCAGACGCAAGCTGCCGTGGCGTGACATGCGAGAGGTTCACCGTATGGACAAAGAGCCCCATGCCCAAGAGTTCCTTATGCAACGCAGTGTGGGCAGTGGCCGTGGCAACAACAGCGACCTGTGCGCATGCAGGAATGCTGCGGAACAAACGCGTTAACTGCAGCAGCAAGGAAGCGCTGTCAGGACCCTGTCATACATGACGGGGGGATGGTAGGTGAGTGGGTAAGCATGTCGTGTTTGTGTTGGTGGTGTCAATGGAGGGGATGCAAGCGAGCTGCAAGCTTGATGTGATTGGAGGCCACGCTGCACTATTCGTTCAAAAACAATTCGCACAGTCATGTCAATCAAACACAAATAACAAAAGGAAACCACCAACTCAACACACACACACACACACACACACACACACACACACACACACACACACACACACACCTGCATCTCTGCAGGGCAGAGTGCGTCGAGATCGTCAACAACGAGGAGTGCCGGTGCACGGAAGAGACACTCGCGTATGTGTTGGCGAAAGGCATTGGCTTGCACCGCCGCCGTCTTGCCCTTGAGCTGCCGGCACTGAATCGTGCACACGTGTGCGAGAAACCGCTGCTGCGCACATGTGCACAGTTCATCGCCCAGCGTCGTCCGACCACTTCCACGCGGCCCACACACGAGCACGCACGTCGATGTCGGCGGCGGCAGTGGTGATGAAGGTGTTGCTGTTTTCGGTTGCGGTATCGCTATCGTTGGCACCGTTCTTGCATGGGTATCTGGGTTATTTGAGGAGGATGGATGGTCCACATCACCACGACGAACACCAGCTAGTGTGCCATTGCGCTTGCGTTCGGTACCATGGAGGGGCTGCTTGCTGCGTGATTCACACGACTGTGGTTGGTGCTGATACAACTGCTGTTGTTCATGTTGCTGCTGCTCATGTTGGTGTTGTCGTCGCCCGAGTGCGCGGGAGATGTGTGCACACACGCGAGCAATTGCACGTGTATACAGCGGGCGAGCTGGCGTATGCACGCGCACAGGATCGACGTTCACATCGGGAACAATGCGGCAACCAAGTGAACGCGAACTTGGCCCGTCTCGCTGTTGCTGCTGTTGCTGTGGTGTGGTGTCACTGGAATCACAGGAAGATGCGCGTACGTGCGCAATCAGCACTGCCCAATCCGTTGTTGTCATGTTAAGGCGCGATGCGAGTCTGCAGTCGCACGCGCGAGGGATTGTGGTGAGCACGTGGCTGATCACATACGTCACACCGACGCATGGCGACAGCATGGATACACACCAAGATGCATAGGTACAGACAGGCACACACACAGACACACACAGACACACACACACACACACAGACAGACAGACAGGCAGATACACAGAGGCGAACACAAAGAGCGAGTGTGGGACCGCATCACCGCACCTCCTTGAGACGAGAATCTCGTGCGGTTCGAGGTAATGGGAATATCCGATAGCAGCCAGTGCAACGCGACGATGTGATGGTGATGTTGATTGTGATGATGATGATGATGATGATGAGGGTGGCGATGATGATGAAGGCGTCGCGGTTGACGCTGGCGGCTGTGTCGTTGCTCTTCGTGTTGTGGTGCGCGGTGTTGACGCACGCTGTATTCGCTGTTGCGGACGTGCAGGAGTTGGCGCTGCGTGCTCTCCTCCCTCACCGCCACCGCCGCTGTCTGCGTCCTGCACATGCATGACATCGCGGTACTTGGACAGAAACGCCTTCACAATGCGCTGGGGACCGTGGTGGTGGTGGTGGTGGTGGTGGTGGTGGTGGTGATGATGGTGGTGATGGCGGAGGTAAGGGTGACAGTCAGGTAGACACAGGCAGACACACAGACACAGACACAGACACACAGACAGAGAGACAGACACAGACACAGGCACAGTCACACACAGACACAGTCACACCTGTGTTGGGAGGAGGGCGCGTGCTGACGGCAGACACGCGTCGACGGGAAGGCGATCGCTGACGACAACGCGGAGGCGGCACCACAGCAGCGACGGCGGGCGACTCGTGCTTGGCGCATCGAGCTGGTTTGGCGATGGTGTCAGCAGGAGAGAAAAGGGGGCGGTATGAGGCGAGTGGAGGCTTGAGGTGCAGCGAGGCGGATAACCAGATGAGCACAACCCCACACGCAGACAGACACAGACACAGACACAGACGCAGACACTCACACAGCCACACAGCCACACACACACTGCCAGATGCACGGACGTCATGAGGGGAGAGGACGGTGATGCGCGTGTCTGGACCAATGACCATCCACGTGTTGGTGCATGTGGCACTGGCCTCATCTCTGGCCGTCACTATCTCGAGCTGCAGTGCGCGGCCATCCACGCTGATGGGCAGCACGCCCGGTGCACGCACACTGCGCGCCTGCAACCAGGGGCATGCGGCAGCAAAGGCGACGTGGGCGACGCGCAATCATACGCGTATGTGTGACATGTGCGCATGCGTGCAGGCGTTGCCTGCATGGAGGCTGAGTCGCATGTCAAGGGGTGGTGGCATTGCTCTCTGTCACACACACACACACACACACCTGTTGGAGGAAGCAGTTTTCCAAGTTTGTGGAGTTGAGCGCCTGCATCAAACAAAGGCAGCAGCTGGTGTGAGTGTGGCAGCGTCACATGTCACATCATGTGTTGTGTGTTGCAACGGCCAAAGTCATTGATGCTCTCAATACAGTGAGGGCATTTGGACAGGGGGGACGTTTGAATACACGTGCACGTGTGCAGATCAGCGCACCACTGCTTGCCAGTCTGTTTGGGACGTCAAGCGGGCTGTCAAAGCCGTGCAGCGAGGAAGGTCACCATTGACTACAGAGACAGCCACCTGTTCATAGCACGCGTGGGGGAGGGAGCGAGTGAAAGTGGGAGTGAGAGGGAGACAATGTGCGGGTGTTCGTGACAGTGTGTGTGTGTGTGTGTCCGTGTGAAGTTGTTGGCACAGAGGAGTGGGGAGAGCGTCGCACACAAAAATGTGGGGGGGGGGGCGCAGCTGTGCCACAGCAACCCAGTCAGTGCAGTGTGGGGTACCTTGGTGCCTGGTTTGATGTGGTATGCTCGCATAAGTGCGGGAGACAGTTCCACTGTGGCGTCGCCGCGGGCTGTTTCCCGTGCAAATCCGGATACACCACACACGATGCTCTGGCTTCCCCATTGCAGCCTCACAATCACATCCTACATGAGGGTGTGAGTGTGTGTGTGTATGTGAGAAAGAGTGTGTGCGAGAGAGAGTCAGAGAGAGAGAGAGAGTCAGTGTGTGTGTGAGTGTGAACGGGTGAGCTTGAGGGTGTGAGCGGAACATCACGCGTACATCAGCAAACACACACACACACACACACACACACACACACACACACACACACACACACACACACACACACACACACACACACACCTTGGTTGTGACTTGGTTGACGGCGGCCGTGAGAGGCTTGGAGGATAGGTTGCACATGCATGGGAAGCTGGACAGCGCTGAACTGGCCAGCACACGTGCCTGCACTGCCATCGTCGCATTCACCTTTCCCGATGACTGTGGTGACATGATGTGTCGCTCTCATCAGCCACCAGCACAGCCTTTGTCCTGACTGCTGACGATTGGTGGGAAATATAAACAAGTTTCGTTTTCTGTGTCGTTGCAAACAAGAAGAAGAACAAGTGAAGAAGAAGAAACGACATTCGACCGACAAGAGCGAGTGAGCGAGCAACCGAGCCAAAGCAATCACCAACCCCGACCTGATATCCGCACACGTCCTTCCTCCTCTGCAGCCCTTTGTTCCCTTGTGCTACAAGTGTGGACAACGAGAACAGTGCGTGTGAGACACACGAGCACAAAGACACGATGAGCACAACGATGGCATCGGTGAGTGCGCGGCTAGCACATTACTGTGCAATGTTGTCGTTGTTTGTTTGGATTGGTGGACAATCCACCGCACACACCCGCGTTTATTCCATGTGCGTGTGTGTTTGATGTGTGTGTGTGTCTCCTCACTCCTTCCTCCCCCCTCTCTCTGTAGCATGCCATGGACACCAAGGCAGATGAGCGTGATGCCAAGGACAAGGGCGCAACCGCATATCTTGAGAGCAAAGTCAACGGCCTCACGGTATGCAGAACACACACACCCACCCACCCACCCACACACACACACACACACACACACACACACACACACACCCACCCACCCACACACACACACACACACACACACACCCACACACCCACCCATGTTGTCTCTCCCCTCTCTCCCTTGCGCTCTGTCTCTCTTTTCCTTCTTGTGGTTTGCATTTACATATGGAGGAGTGTTTCTTTGCAGCTCATGGTGTGAATGTGGAACTGTATGCGTCTCCGCTGCCTTGCTTTGGGGACATTTGTTGTGCTGCTCGGGTGTGCATAGGTCGTTCTCAATGACAAGAAGCAGAACCTTCGACGATTGGAGGCTGAAAGAAACGAGCTCAACGGCCGAGGTATGTGTGTGTGTGTGTTTGCAAGAGAATTCTTTGCATGTGTGTGCGTGTGTGTGTGTGTGTGTGTGTGTTAGTTATCTGTTTTATGTGGTTCAGACTCCATCATTTGCTCATTCGTGTTTGCTGGCGCGCTTGCCTGCGACCCGCTGATCTGTGTGCACAATTGCAGTGCGCCAGTTGAAGGAAGAGCTGACGCTGCTGCACGAGCCTGGCTCATATGTGGGTGAGGTGGCCAAGGTCATGGGCAAGAAGAAGGTGCTTGTCAAGACACACCCAGAGGGCAAGTATGTCGTCGACATTGAGAAGAACATCGACATCACAAAGGTGTGTATGTGTGTCTGTGCGTGCGCGCGTGCGTTTGGTGATGTGTGATAAACTTGGTGGCGTGCGTGTTGAAGTCAGTTGTCTACTCTTGCCACTCTCACTTCACCTGTGGGTCTATCCCATTATGCTTTCACGTTCATATGATGGTTGATTGGAGCAGCTGACGCCAAACACGCGAGTTGCCCTGCGCAGCGACAGTTACACCTTGCACAAAGTCCTGCCCAACAAGGTATACTGCCGAATGCATGCACATACGCATGTGTGTGTGTGCGCGTGCGTGTGTGTGTACATGTGTGCGTGTGTGTGTGTGTGCGCGCGTGCGTGTATGTGTGCGTGTGTGCGCATGTGTGCGTGCTTGTGCGTACATGCGCGTGCGTGGGTGGATATTCTTTCGTTGACCTTTTGCTGCTGGTTTTCAACGTTGACACCAAAATGGTACCCTCCTGTGCCCATCCCACTGTATTCATGCATCCGTGATTGTCGTGGCAGGTTGATCCGCTCGTGTCGCTGATGATGCTTGAGAAAGTGCCCGACAGCACATATGACATGGTCGGCGGCCTCGACAAGCAAATCAAGGAAATCAAGGAGGTACGTTTGCTCTGTGTGTGTGTGTGTGTGTGTGTGTGTGTGTGTGTGTGTGTGTGTGTGTGTGTGTGTGTGTGTGTGTGTGTGTGTGTGTGTGTGTGTGTGTGTGTGGACTTCTTGCTTGGCAGCTGCTGTGTACTGTAGTGTTTGCCCCCCCCCGCTTTACAAAGCCACCCGCCCTCCATCACCCCCCTCTCCCTTGCACGTGGTTTCGTGCAGGTGATTGAGCTGCCTGTGAAGCATCCCGAGCTGTTTGAGGCGCTCGGCATTGCGCAACCAAAGGGTGTGCTGCTGTATGGCCCGCCCGGCACAGGCAAAACGCTGCTGGCACGCGCAGTTGCCCACCACACGGAGTGCAGCTTCATCCGCGTGTCTGGCTCTGAGCTCGTCCAGAAGTACATTGGCGAAGGTGCGAGCAGCACATGCACTGCGCTCTCTTGATCTTGGTGGTGGCGGTGGCGGTGTTGTTTAATTGTTTTAAGTTGTTGTTGGTCTTGTTGTTGGTCTTGTTGTTGATATTGTTGTTGTTGTTGGTGGTGGCGGCGGCCATGTGTTGGTGTTGCTTACATTGGCGCTGGTGTCCTGTTTTGTTTTGTCTTGTGTTGTCTCCTCACCATCATTCTCCTCTGTGTAACTCACTCCCAACTCACCCACCATCACGTTTTCCACCGCGTTCCCTCCCCTCCACCACCTGCAGGTTCACGGATGGTTCGTGAGCTGTTCGTGATGGCCCGGCAGCACGCGCCATCGATCATCTTCATGGACGAGATTGACTCCATCGGCTCTGCGCGCATGAGCGGGGGCAAGGGTGGCGGCGACAGCGAGGTGCAGCGCACGATGCTGGAGCTGCTCAACCAGCTCGACGGCTTTGAGGCCACGCAGAACATCAAGGTGATCATGGCCACCAACCGCATCGACATTCTCGACTCGGCGCTCCTCCGCCCAGGACGCATCGACCGCAAGGTGTGCGCTCGCTCCCTGCGTCCTCTTGATGTCTGTGTTGGTGTTGTCGTGTGAATGCGAGTGGACGATGATCCAACGTTGGCGCTGCTCGTCCCATCTTGTAGGCTGACAAGCGCCCTTTCCCACGCACAACTCGTTATTCGTGTGCATTCCTTCAGATTGAGTTCCCTGCGCCAAACGAGAGCGCACGCGCGCACATTCTCCGCATCCACTCGCGCAAGATGAACCTCACTCGGTGTGTCGACTGTTACAACAGTGTTAGCGGTGGTGATTGTTTTGGTTTGTTTTGAGTGGTTGTCATTACTTTTCATTCACGTGCAACGCAACGTTTTCGACTCACCGCTGCTATGGTTGCATGTGCATGTGCATGTGTGTGTGTGTGTGTGTGTGCGTGTGTGTATGCGTGTGTGTGTGCGTGCGTGTGTTGACAGTGGGATCAACCTGAAGAAGATTGCTGAGCTGATGCCGGGCGCGTCCGGCGCAGAAGTCAAGGTGCCGATGAGTGACGATGATGATGATGATGATGATGATGATGATGATGATGATGATGATGATGATGATGATGATGATGATGATGATGATGATGATGATTGGTGATGGTGGTGGTGGTGGTGCATTGTTGGTAGCACGCACCATACTGTTGATGAGAACCAAGAGAACACGTGTACGCGAATACCCTTCACCAATTCGCTCACTTGTGTGGTGTGTGTGTGTGCACTCATTGGAACACAGGGCGTGTGCACGGAGGCCGGCATGTATGCGCTTCGTGAGCGCCGCGTGCACGTGACGCAGGAGGACTTTGAGCTCGCCGTCGCAAAGGTGCCGCAATGGCAATCACTGCTGTTGTGGTTATGGTTGTTGTCGTTCTTGTTGTTGCTGTCATTGTTTTGCTCATGGTTTTATGAGCGAGCTTGTCCTGTTACGTTATATTGCCGTGCCCTGGTGCTTGACCCCGCGCATGCTCACACATACATACACACGCACACGCACGCAACACACATGCTGTATCGGATGCAGATTATGCAAAAGGACAGCGACAAGAACACTTCCCTGCAGAAATTCTTCACTTGATCGCCCGCAAGGCACCCACCCACATCACCAACCACCAGCCTTGTTTTGGCTCTTGTTCAAGCCTTTGGTGCTGTGCTGTGTGGCGGCACTCTCACACGCATACACGCTTGTGCGCTTGCTGTGTCGTTTGTCGTTTTGCGTCTGCAACAGTCAGCCCATCAAATACACAACAACCAAATCACCCAATAGCTCCGTGCACGGTCAAACTGAGACAACCACCCACACCCACACCCACACCCACCCACCCACATACCCACACACACACCAACAGACACATACCCACATCCACGTCTACGTGCGGAGAGCAAAGCTCAAGTGAGATCCTGTATCGGAGAGCGGGACAGAGTCGACGCCGAGCTGATGTGGCCGCAAACTCCCTATAGGGTAAAACTCTAGTAGGGTACCAACCAGACAGAAGCTGTGCCAGCTAGGGACTATACCAGACATAAGATGCGCTTTACCCAAACAGTCACGTCGACGGAGCGAAGGGGGCATCGCTGGTCCGTGACGTTATCGGATATAGAAGTCAAGATAGACGTGAGAGTCTGAAGTGGGAACGGGCATCAGTACGAGAGTGCATATGGGCTGAGTTTTGCTAGACTGGGCGACATCGTATGTAGTGCGGTAATGTACTGCTCTGTATTAGTTGATGCTGTAACGTGATCGTAGGAAGTGTCGTTAGAGTATTATGATGATAACGATGCTTAGCGCGGCGATAGGCGTAGTCAGGCC